TATACAAACATATTCTTGATTAGTTATATTGTTATGTATACCTTAAATTTCGTACCTACTTAATTTGAAAAAAAAAAAAATTTTTTTAATAAATTATTGCCGCCATTACTTTCAGCCGGCACTATATATACTATATTATTCTCAACTCCAAATTTTTACAAAAATACTTATACAACATATAACTATATATCAAGTCTATAGATATAGCATAGCTAAAATCTATATGAATAACAAAAAGAAGTAACAATTATCATATACTTAACAATATTCAAGAGCTGATGGCCAGTTTAATACCTATTTCAATACCAACTTCATTTGTAGAAATTTTTTCAAATACAAACCAATCAAATAGACAAATGAATAATCTTAACATTTATTTTATAAACAACAAAATTACCATAAAAATACTAATATAACTTTGACTTTCAAATTCTAATATAATCTAACTACTTACTTCTGACCAATATTTAATGACTCCTTGAAGCACATTTTATCTTATTTCACTATCACATGCTTTTCATAATCCAAACTCATAACTACTCTTCCAAAGTACACTAATCACCAAGTCAAGTACTCTTATAGCAACATTATCAAGAAAATAAACCAACAAATAATTAATAAACAACTTATGCTAATATGAATTACTGAATTAAGACAATTTCTAACAATTATATTTCAAGGTATAACAGTTACAACTCCAATTATATTCTCCAAATTTTAACATATCTTTTCTTATCAATAACAACTATGCAACAAGCCTAACTCAATAAATGAAATTTGTTAATCACTACACAAATCTCTTTAACTTTCTACTCAATCAAACAGTTATTTTTAAACCTATCACAATGGCAGAACTGGTAATTATTATTAAATCTAATAAAAAACTTAAAAGAGTAGATCAAATTAAATTCAAGCTACTAGTTATGTTCAAAACCAAAATTATTGCCAACTAACTTCTAACAAGAGTTAAAATGTATAAGAAATACCTAGACCTATATAAAGACAACCTATATTCAAAATATAATGCCTATCCAAAAAACATTATATATATTTTTAACTGCTTTCAAAGCAGAGAAACCCTAATATCAAAAAAGATCAAACTTGACTATCTGATAGTCAAAAATATTTTAAAAAATGATATTACCTCTGAAAATGAAAGAAAAATTGCTACTAACAACCTATAAATAAAATTATATCAAATCTAACTTTAGACAAATTCCAATTATTATTCAACATCCCACATAAAAAAAAAAGATTTTGAACTATGTCCTTAAAATTTTTTACAAAATCTGGAAACAACAATTAACAACTGTTACTACATCTTTCTTAACAGGTATTAAATGGCAAAAGCAAAAATTATTAATCTTAACAATACCTAATTACTCAAATACAGTATAATAACATTTGACAAAATTTTAATTATACTAAATTATAATAACAATTTTATAAACAAAAAAATTTTCAATTCAACAAATATTTCATCATTTTGAATAAACTTTAGCTATTTGAAATTTTTAACAGATAAACACCTATTAGATGACAATGTATATTAGTTATAAAGGTCGCAATAGGCTACAATTATTTACTTCTTTATAAAAGATTGTTAATATAATAACTATAAACAATTTGTTTAATAAAGGTCCTGTATGGAATGTTTATTTGCAATAAAAAAAGAAATTATTATATTACACAATATAAAAAAAATAAACTACAATTGAATAAACTTGAGTATATCTTTAATTTTTAAGAAAACAATTTGATTATATGCATAGATAACTTAATAGAAATTAACAAATATGCTATAAACCCAAAAATCAAAGACAATTAAAGCTATAGTATAATAATTTGAATTAAAAGAATATAGCAAATCTATAAACTTATAAGTATTATTAATAACATATTAATCAAGTTCAAATAATACCAAACAATAATATTAAAAATATTATATTCCCTTATATTAGCAAATATCTTATTAATAAAAAAAAACAAATACAATTTCTTATTATTTCTTACTTTTAGAAACAAAATTTTTAGTGATACTTTTTTATCAAAAAAACTTTTACTTAAGAGATATCCTGATATATATCAAAATGACCTCTGTTTAAGATATTTAATAATATCAAAAACTCCTAATTATATATTTGAATATTATAAAAATAGAAAAGTATATACAAAAATTGAAATCAAATTTAAATTCAAACTCAACAAATTTGTAAACAAATACAAATATATTTTTTTATAATACTTAACTTTCATTTTTAATAAAGCCTACATATAATATAACAGATTTAAAATTGACTTTTTAACAAGAAACTTGTTAAGTCAATAAATACAGTACTAAAACTTTTTTATATTCTTGTATAGCTATTAAAATTAGCAACTGTAAATATCTTAACAGTCTTAGAAATCAAATAGACCAAATATTTAAGCAAGCAATATAATAAAAAAGAAAATCAATATTAAATATTATGCAAAACTAAAGCCTATTTCTTTAAATTATAATCTTAACAGATGAACAGTCTAATAAATTAAGCAATTTACTCAAATCATAAAATTTTACTTTAGCTTTAAAAAAACATCAACTATTCAATACTAGAGCTAATCTAAATTACATTAAATTTAGTAAGAATGACAATAGTTAATATTATAGATAGATTAATATTAACTTATATTTTATTTTATATTAAAATGTTTTATATAATTTGTATATCAATATACTGTATATACTTAATAATATTTTGTATTTGATACCTTTTATAATTAAAAAAAAATAATTAAAAAGAAAAAATATATTATATGAAATAGAAACAATTATATATATATCAAGTTGTAAATATAAAAAAAACAAAATATAATATATAAATTAACATATTAATACAAAAAGAAAATAAAAAAAAATAATTTAAAAATAAAATATATAAAAATTAATACAAAATAATTAAATGCATAGAATATTTAAAATATTATATAATTCCAATAAAGTTATATAAACTTTTTTTAATCCAGTATTCTTATAACAAAAAATTAACAAATACTTTATTTACAAATAAATTTTAATTTTTTAAAGTATTAATATAGAATTGCTAATTTATATTAAATCAAATATATCTTGTTTGTTTATTTATTCAATTTTTTAATATATTGATATGTGATTTTTGTTTGATATTTTTTTAAACTTTGTAATACTTTATATATTATTACAGATTTTTCAATCATAAAAAACTAATAAATATTTGATATACTGTATGTATATTATAAATTTGATTTATTTAAGTAATTGATATAATTATATAATGGTAAATCTGTTACTAATATTAGTAGATATTTGAATAATTATTATTAGATAAATAAGCCTAAGATAATTTAAGATGTGTTTTATTTGATTAAGTATTTATTAAGTTTCTTTTTTATTTTCTTAACTTTTTTATCTATCTTTTTATACCTTTTGATTTGTACAAGACATTTATACTTCTTTTTTTATATTTTGGCTTGAACATAGAACAATAGATAACAATACAATGGCAAGGCTAAAGCTAGATTATATGATTCCTTTTAACAATTCTTTCCGTTCCTCCTTTATTATCTAATTATTATAGTCAACTCACCATTATTCGACACTGGTTTCGGTTTATTGAAATAATACAAATGGTAATTATTTAGAGTAATGTAACACAATTTAAAATCTAAACGTTACAAATTTTTTAGTTATATTAATTTATAGTATTTTTATTTTACATATTTTATTTATTAATATAATATTTTTTTCCATTTATTTATCATACTCTTTTATAATTGTCTTGATTCTGCGGTATTTCCCTTTTTTCTTAAAAAAAAATCTTTAAGTGTTACGTCGCACTTTCTTTTCACATATTTTACTCAGAAAATACCTTTTCTATATACACTTATGCATTTCCTTTTCTGATATTATACAATCATTTCCTTTTCTGATATTATACAATCATTTCCTTTTTTTCTCAGAAAATCCGTTTTTATATACTACCTAGGAATTTTTATTTTGGTTTAATTAACTTACATTTGATGAATGCGTAATTATAGTTTTTCGTATATAAGGGTGAACTTTTCAGTAGAGGCAAGCGAATTCTGATAACATCTTTCAAAAAGTTTATTATATTGAAATTCTCCGACAATAGAAGGTAAAAAAAAACTTGATTGTTTATTGAATTTTATTCTATAATATGAATAATAACTTGTGATTCATGCATGAAAAGAGGATTTAAAATCAATAAACTTTGTAATGTATAGAGGATGATTTAGGGTGTTTAAAACATCACTTATTTTACAATAGGTGACTCGATAGTGGAAATAATTTATTTATTGAGAATGAGTCAACTTCCGACGCCTACACTACTAACAAAAGTGGAATGGAATGGAAAAACGACTTGGCAACGTCTAGAGATTTTTATTGAAGCTTTAAAGTCACCATTAAAACATAAGGTAAAATAATATTTCACGTAAATGTTAGTCATGTGATTGTTTACTGCGACACATAATATGTTCGACAAAAACTATAAATTCATTAGATTTATGCCAAGTTTTTTTAAAAAATTTTTTTCGAACAATTGACAAGACATATTACGGATAGTTCTGATAATAAGTTTTTTTAAAATGCGGATATCGTAACAACTAACAAGTATATTGATTTCTAATAATAATTTTCACTTGTGTGCAGCCTTATATCGAATCGATTATTATAAAAAATGAAGCAACCGTCGCTTTATGGAATAATGCATGCAATTCTAAGATAAATAAGATAGAAAATCTTTTAGTAAGTACTTGTATTAATTTTGATCAAGAAAATTTACATAACGATTTATTTTATATATAAGATTGCAGAAAGAATCGAAACACTACCAGACAAGGAGATTATCACATATAATGATGACTATTTATCAAAATATATTATGGATGGAAATAAATATCAAGTTCAAAGGGCTATGTGGAATAGCGAAGGCAATAAGCTATTCATAATTTTAAAACTTAATGAAGAAAATCCAGATAGAACAGAACATAGAGAAATTATTGGTGAGGTACGATATAATATATTATTTACTTATTTTGTACGATGTATTAATGTTCTAATAAAATTTGTAGATTCAAATTTACTATTCAGTAAATGCAAAAGACACTTATGAAAATACCATTAAACTCCATGGTTTCAGGTATATTTAGCTTATAATAATAAATGTTAATTTATACGTTAAACATTATTAATGCATTCTTTAATATATCTGACCATTCTAGTCAATGTTTGTTTCTACTTTTTTTTTTTTGACGGATGGTATTTCCAGCGATACTTATAAACTATGCCATACCTTTAGTGCACGATGGATCTCCCGTGATTATTCTAGAATATATAGAGAATCAAAATCAACATGACTACCCAAATGAAAATCTTAGCGAGGAAGTAATAATCACGAGGATTGCGCTTAGAGAGCAACAAAGGTGTTGTGATAATCACCCTCATATTTCATCTACACTCAAATTTGTCTCTGATAATTCGAGTAAGGGATAATACCTTCGTTTATTAATGTCTGACATTGTAAGCTTAATTTTGATTTATTATAAATCGTATCAATTTATGTAGAAAAACGGTTTGATGATCAAACTCGTAAGTCAAATATACCTGATTACTATTTCTAAATATCAACTAATTTTTTATATATTGTAGATAGCGAGATTAAACGGAGCATTCATAGATTTGTTAAGTTGATAGAACCCTGGGGTTCATCTACTCAAGAAAGTTTGGTTTTTTCTTTAACTGAGCTAAAACATATAACACATTTTCTTATTTTCCTTCTCTTGGCTTCTTATACTTTAATTTTATTGTTTTTACTAAATTTCCCAGGGCCTTTATAGCTATTCTTTTCAAGCTTATTTATTTTTAGATTGTACTAGGATCAAATATACGATATTAAGTACCACGATCATTACATGTGAGCTGCGCCATACTTCTTAATTAAGTCGTATTGAAATCCAAAGTACTTTTTTTTACTCGCATACAAACTTAGAAACTTAGTGACATAGTTAGTTATTATTAATAAAGGATTTTCTATATCAACTTATCAAAATACTATAATAATGTCTTCGTCTCATCTTTTTCATGACGAAAAAGCTTGATATCGATAATATTACTGCAAAACACGTTTATCGTGCAATATTTAGCTTGCCAATCCCGAGTAAAACTCGAGAATGTGTCCCAAGAATTATCAGTTTACTTGATTAATTTGTGTTGACACTTTGATTAGGAGACCTCGTAGCGAAATCAACCCATAATATATGATAAACCATATTTTACAAGATTAGAAGAGCATCAACTTCCTATGTCTACCCTACCAAAAAGAAAAAATCAGAATGGAAAAACGACTTTGTAATGCTTGGAAATTGTTATTAAGACCTTAAGGTCTCCGTTAAATGCAGACAATACTGCGCCATATTCCGCAGTTCGCAAAGCTTAATGCAGTGAAAGAAAAATTATTTATTCGGATTATTAAACTATAATACATTCACTGCTAACGGAGTGATAACAAACTGACTTAAATGACAAAGGTTTTTAAATACGAAAATCGTATCTAATGAAATTTCGTTTATAAATATAGTCATATATCGAATCCATCATTATAAAAAATGAAGCAATCGTCACTTTGTGGAATAATTTGGGCACTTCAAAAATCAATAAGATAGATTAGAATTTATTTAAATTTTTCTAAATTGGTACAGAATTTATTTTTAAAAATTTACATTTCCGAAAGGGTCGAGGCACCATTACCCCTGGAAAGTACCGTATATAATGATTTTGATTTAATAAAACATGTTATGGACGGAAATAATATCAAGTTCGAAAGGCCATGTGGAATAACTAAGGAAATAAGATATTTATTGTTTTAAAACTTAATGATGAAAAACCAATAATTCAGAACATCAAGAAATTATCGGAAAGGTATATATAGTGTAACGGGCAAACGGCGAGTCTGTCGCTAATGCCAACAGAAATTCGCGCAACCGTTACTGGTGATTTGAGGTAACAAATAGGTGATTTGAGGCACACGATTTGACCGAGTTCTTCACACTTCTCGCACTACTCCTTTTTATTAATAACATTGTCTCACTTATTTATACAATTTTTTAAACATCTAGATGGGGCTTTTAAAGAGAGAAAAAAGATCAAAATCTATGAAACATTTTAAGGCTTAAAGGTAAATCATCCACATTATGTCTTCCTATTGTTCGTTATTAATCAATAATTATTATTACAGGTTGATGCTTCGTGATACTCCGGTTAAAATTAGTCACGTGACTCTCGTCGCGTTTTTTGACTGTTTGATTTTACCTCTTACAAGTAGGTATTATTCATTTATATACATAATAAAGTTGACTAATAAAATGTATAGATTCAAGTTTATCATTCAGTAAATGCGAAAAATATTCATGAAAGTACCATGAAATTTTATAGTTCATTTTTTTCGCTGATAATAAGAAATAATGATATATTTAAGCATTACTAACACATTATTTTAATTCTTCTGACCATTTTAGTCGATGTACGTATTAGTTTTCTTTTAAAGATAATACTTCTATTCGGTAATACTATTTAACTATATTTTATACTATAGTACCTGATAGGTCACCCGTAATTATTCTAGAATGTATCGAGAATACAAATCAACATAATTACCTATATGAAAACCTTAGCGAAGAAATAATAATCACGAGAATCATTGTTAAAAAAAAACAAGTGTGCTGTGATAATCATCCTCATAGTTCATCCGATCTCAATTATGCATCGGATAATTTAAGTATGGATAAACTATTCTATAAATGTTAAATGCTTTTATACTTATTTTATTTTGACACTTATTTATAGGATTCATATTAGATTATACTAAAAATGGTAGGATTTTTTATTTAAGATATTCTTTCGATTTACTTTTTTTTTTTTACATTACTAATCATCATCAATTTGCGTAGAAAAACGGTCTATCGAACAATTCCGTAAGTACAACATATTGGGTTATTGTTATTATTACTATTATAAATCATTTAGATGGTTATTTTTACTTTATTAAATTAATAGAAAAAGCGGATTTATCCACTCATGAAAGTAGGGTTTTTTCTTTAACTAAGTTTAAATGCATCAAACATATTTTTCTATTTTTCTTCCTTTCCTTTTCATTATTTTTATTTTATTGTCTTCATTAAATTTCATAGAGCTTTTGCGCGCCGTTTTCATATATAGATAAACCTTTTAAGATTAATATTAATTAATTTTTTTTTTCTTTTCTTATATTATTTTTTTTATATATTGTTATATTATACCGTATTTCGGATTATTTAGTCGAGCCGTTATGAATGTGTATCTTGTGCAATAACGACAAATGATTATGTAATCAATTGGTTTTAACCTTTTAATAATCAAAATTCTTTCAATACGTATAAAAAGAAGATATACAGTACACATACTATAAATATAATATAAATTCCTACCATTGTTAAATTTCTCTGTAGCTCAATATACAGTATATGAGTATGTAAATAGCGATTAATGTTGATAGCTTTCTAATTAACCTAAATTTGAAATTTAAAAAGCATATGAGACACATGTATAATAGAGGTCATAAAGATGCATTGTCTAGATATTTTTATTTTATTTTTTTACTTGCTGTAAATATATAAATTTTAATTTTAAAATTACTTTAACATAATTACTTGTCGTTATAATCAAAAAAAGGTAGAAATAGTTATGTAATATAAATATATCGATTTAATTTTTTCAATTTTATAAAAATTTAATTATAATATAAAATTGTAAAAACTATTAAATAAAAAAAATATTTTATGAATCTATTGTTGTGGGAACAATAGGGATAGGAACGCGATATTGTGGCGCGTCGCGTAATAACAGCAACATGGATGGTAGAATGA